TTTTTTTTTTTTTGGGGGGGGGGGGCAGGGGGCGAGAAGGGGAGAGAGAGAAGTGTTGTGGTGGAGAGAAATGTTATGTTCGTGTTTGTCGGGGGTAGTGCTATGGTGGTAGAGGTGAGTTTAATGACAGTGATTTTGAATCAAGTTGACAATGCTTTGGTGGTGGAGGCAACACTGTTTGTTTTGAAGTTGATGGTGATCCTGAGGTGCTGTTGACTAACCTAATTTCTTCGAGTAATTAGCTTGATAGATGGGTTTAAGTATAGAAGTTCACTGTTAAGGGGTCCATTACTTAATTAGTGAGGTCTATTACTAGGGTTAGTTTGCTTAATTAATGGGCTAGTTGATTGATGACTTAATAGACGGGTTCAATTATAGAATTTCACTTAAGGAAATTGATAATCTTAAGACCATCTCCAACACATTCTCTATTTTCTCTCTTTTAGTTATTTTAGCCAACTAAACACTAAAAACACTCTCCAACTCACTCTTTATCGCACTCTCTATTTTTCATCTCACTCAAATAGCTTTAATGCTCCGTTTAGTATAAAGGATGAAAAGTAGGAAAGATAAAAAATAAGAGGAACACACTTTTTATCCTTCAAATAAGGAAAGTAAGAAAAATACATTTTTCTTCTTTTGTGTTTGATTGGATGGATGAAAAATAAAAATGACTAAATATTTTTTTTTTGCTTACTAAAATTAGGGGTGACAATCGAGTCATGTCGTGTCAGATTTGTGTTGAGTCATTACGGGTTTGTGTCGAATATTAGTTACACCTAACTCAACTAAATTAACTAATTGTGTCTTGTCGAGTTATAAGTTAACCTGTTTATTTTCGTGTCGTGTTTGTGTTCGAATTAATCAAGTTCGTGTCATTAAATTCGTGTCGAGTTTGAATCGTGTTATCGTATTGAGTCAAAAAATTTCACCCTTAATTATGATGGAAAAATTATTTTTTTAATTTAAAATTTTTTATTTTTAATTTTTTATTTTTTTATTTTAAAAATATATACATATACATATTTTATTATTATATTTTTATATGAAATTAATGTATACATAATACATAATATATTTATATATAAAAAGATAGATAGACAAATAAGATACATCTCAATACGAATAATTAACTTTTCATTCACTTTCCTTCTGATTTTGGAGGAATTGATTTTGGTGAGTTTGAAGAAAAGTTAATTCATCCATTTTTTTCATCCTTCCTATTTTCCTTCCTTACCAAACATGATGTTTTTTTTTCCCTCAAACTTTTCAACTTTTCATCTTTCTATTTTTCAATCATACCAAACAGAGCATAAATATAGAGTCATTTAGCCTTTCTAAATTCTCTCTTTACCTCTTTCTCTCTTTATCTCTATATATATGTTGTATTCTCTTTAAATTATTGGAAGTTAGTGAAAATTGGATGAAGTGTCAAAATTTTCTAAGGTCTAAAATTTTCTTAGTGAAAGTTGGGAAGTTAGTGAGCTCGATTGGAGATGCTCTAATTAAGGTGTCAAAATTTTCAAAAAAAAAACAAAAAAACTAAGTAGTCAATTAAATTAAAAGGGTTCATTATTAGGGGTAGTTTATTAATGCGGTTTATATTTCAAATTAGCCACATGTTCAACTTAATTAATGTAATTACTTAAAGTAACTTAACTAAAAAATTATTGTGTTAATTATTTGATTATTGGAGTGTATTTAGGATGCGTTTGGTAACGTTTCTATCTTTGTGTATTTGAAAAAATAAAAAAAAAGAAATAATTTTTTATTTTTTCTGTGGTAAAAACTAAAAATACAAAATATGTTTGATAGTTATTTATATTTAAAAAATTAAAAAATAAAAATAATTAGTATGTTTGGTATTACTATGTTTCCATAGTTCATTGTGGTTGTTTTGGTTAATTTTTTAATACCAAATACATTGCTCCTCAAAAATACTAGAGATGCACCACCCAACACCCTTGAAAATTCACCACCCAACCCTAAAAATCCAACAACCAACACCACCGAAAAACCACCAACCAACAACTCTGAAAACCCACCAACCAACTACAAAAAAAAAAAAAAATCAAATAGAGGCGAGAGAGGGAGAAAGAGGCGCAGATAGTATAGAAGAGACAGGAAAAAGAGGAAGTCAAAGGGGGTGGGGGTAAACTCAAGCAAAAAAATCCATTTTTTTGTTGTTAAGTAGGATCGAAACTAAGACAAGATGAAGTCCCGCAAGTTTTTATTTTTTGGGTGTTCATGAAAACCCATTTTTTGTGTTTTCATTTTTGGTCTTGTTTTTGAAACAAAATTCCTAAAAAAAATAGAAACACATCACAAACACATTTTTATTTTTTTACAAAAATTGAAAAAAAAAAAAAAAACACACCAAACACAACCTTAGTCTTTGGGTTTGTTGTGAATTTTACAAATATTTACAAACTACTAGATTTTTTTGGTAGTTTTTTTTTTATATATTTATAATGGCAAATCATGCTTGGGTAGTTTGAAAATTGTGTTTAAAATATGCTGTTAAAGTTGGATTACTTCTCAAATGGTTCAAAACGACTTGGGGTGGTGCTATATGAAACCAAACATTACGGAAGCCCAGTATTATTTTTCATATTTGTTGTGATCCATATGATTTAGTGACAAACCTCAGAATTTGTGTAATTTTCCCCATGACTTAAAGAAAGTTTCGGTGAAATAAGGACAACTGGGATGTAGTATTAGCCACCAAGTATTTGCCGGAAGACCTAAAAGCAAATTGAACACAGACTCCAATCACTATGACGGCAAAAGTGTACAAAAGCACACACCCGCATACCTACTTTGGATTAGCTTCATAGTATTTTCGTCACTACCAGAAAAAGAAATCAAATAAAACAGAGAATTTATTCATAGTGAATATGCACATTTCACATTCTTGTTTGTCGTGAATGTCTGCTTGACACTGAAATAGAAGAATTTACATAAAAGCAATAGAAGAAAAGCCAGAATCAGTAATAGAAGATTTCAATAATTTTCCCACTGAACTTTCAACTGCTTCCATTGCAACACCATTGCAGTATGTCTCCATGTGCTTCATGTCTACCTGATTCAAGCCCCATATACGAATCGTACGATCATCACTGGCTGATGCTATCATCTGGTGGTTTGCTGGATTCCAGCTAACACAGTTGACAGCTCCAGTATGCCCCTGCAATGTCTCTATGAGCTTTCCTGAGCCTCTGTGCCATATATACACCTGCAAATATGGGAACAATTTATCAAAACACTATTCAAAACAAAATTTTATTCATGTACTTGAATAAATGGAAACATTTAGCTATTATAAATTTTAGTTTCTAATATGTACTATGTAATCAAATTGGCCATTCCCAGATAGCCACCTTTTTTCAATCAAGAAGATGCCATATGTGTGTATATCAGGTTGGATGAGGGATGTAAATAACCCCATCATTTTTTCTGTTAACAAAACTCACTACAAATCTGCCCAGGCACTACGAACTGCAGTAAACGCACTTTAAAGCGCACATCTTTCAATGTTTCACTAATACTGATAGAGCAAAAAAAAAAAAACACAACAATTGGGCACACAGTGCCTCGAAGCATGGCACTTCGCAAATTTTATCACACCCTTTAGGCAAGATGCTTGGTCAGAATCGTAAGTCACATGAGTGATATAATAGTTTAAATCATTCAATTCCCTAATGAGGTGCAATGTGGAACTTCCCATCCAACTAGACCTTGACAGCTTGAAGTTCAGATAACCTCATTCTATTAAAATGGTGAAATTCAAAGGTAACATAAAATTAGCAAATTCTAAACGTCAGCAAATAAAATAATTTCCAAGATTTGGCCCCTGCCCTCACCAAAAGGAAGAAGAGAAAAATGGCCCCTGGACTCGCCACAAGGAAGAAGACAAAAACGGTGAAGAAAATAAAACTTTTTTTTTGGAAGGTAAAGAAAATAAAACTTATGTAAGGCAAAAACATGAAACATGGGCTTGTTTTAGAAAACAAAAGTCAGATGAGCAAGAATGCAGACAAGAAATGGCACGAAATTATTTCCAGACACAAGCCATGTAAATCTTTTAGAAATACACGGGGACTGCAAATTACTTGACTAGCAGGTACAGCACCTTCCCCACAATTTTTTCAAGATGGTGCAAATGCAGAAAATCCCCCATTAACTATACTTGTTAAGAATATATTGCATTAATAACCACATTTGCTTAAATAAATCAAGCGATAAATCCAAAAAAAGAAAGAAAACTAATGAAAAGAAAACAAGCCTGTGAGTCCTCACTGCCACTGACAATGAATCCTTGGTCAAGTCCACCGAAACAGGTTCTAACAACAAACCGTCTACGCTTGTGGCCTTCGTACTTGGCAACAAGCCTTACATCTCCCTCTACGTTCCAAAGATGGATTTCTTGGTTCAGAAGGCTAACAAGAAGGAACTTACTGTCACTGGACAGTGAAAAGGAAGTTACTATTTCATCCTCCTCAATTAGTTTCTCAGCCCTTGCTTCTCTGTCAAGTAATACTAGTGTATTATGTCTACATACTGTAATGATCTGCTTCCCATCGTTTGTTACTTGCAAATCCGAGATCCTAACAGTCCATTCCCCTTTCCAACATTCTACCTCTTTCCCACGCAAATCCCACATGCTAATGCTCTTATCTGTAGTGCCAGAGAATATCAATTGCCCATCGGGAGACCATGCACAAGAAACCATACCAACGCCAACTTTTTCGTAAACATAGAGGCATTCCCCGGATGAAACATCCCAGCGTCTGACAGCCTCCTCTAGCCCACAAGTGAGGAGCTGCTGGTCATCAGGTCTCCATGAAACAAAGAAGACAGGTTTCTGGTGACCAGATAATCTGCGTTTCAAGGAGAGACTGCCATCCGCATCAACCTATGAAAAATGTTACAAATTCAAATCGAAAAATTAGAGCACTACAAATTTAGATATATTTAAAAAAAAAAATTGGACAGATGAAGGGGTGATGGAGTGTGGTTCATAATAGACAGGCCATGACACATCTTGCAGTACATTACACAAACTTGGCCTCCAAGAAAGCAAGCCCACCTGCAATTCAACCTGAACAATACCCAGCATCCCACTTATTGTGCCCTTTTGGATTGGAAAGAAGGATAATAAGTAAAGGATATTGCAATGGAGAACACACCAGATGGCAAAATTCACGGGCATGCAAAACCTAAACAGTAAGACACATCAAGCAAGGCCACTGTAATATAATACTGGGGTGTGTGTGTGTGTGTGTGTGTGAATGAGAGCATGAGTACACATTTTATGCACAGGTATTACATCTCCAGATGTGATATTGCAGAATGCGAAAAATAAAGCTTGACCTATATATTAAATGTAACAACCGAGCTTGGCAATGTATAATAAAGGTCAAATAGATAAAAAAAAATTACATGGAAATTGTGCAGAAGTGTGTTAGGGGTAAAATCGAAAAGGTGGAGGAATTTCTTGGACTTAGGGAAGCATTATTTTTATAATTAATTTATTAAGTTTAAAAAAAAAAATTGAAATTAGGGATCTCCTCCAATGGAGACAAGACAACACCTAGTAGTAGGTGTCTTCCTCCCTTGGATTCAAGCCATGCAAGAAGTGTGTTGGCAAGAGGCTGAAGAGTAGATAAAAGGGGCAGCCATGTGAGGTGTTTCAGTTGGTGTTAGAGAGTGAAAACAAAGAGAGAGAAGCTTAGAGAGAGAGAGAGAGAGAGAAATGGAGATTTTTGTGCACAAAGCTTCACTTTCAGGTCCAAGCTAGAGTAAGCTTCTTCTTAGTCTATAGAATCCATGTTTAAAGTTTCAAAGGTAGCCATGCCTTGTAGAGGGGGAAAAAAGAAACCCTAGCGATTTGTTTAAACTTGATTTTAGTGTGTTTTTGAAAACTTGAATCTTAAGATGTAGGGATGACCATGTCCGAGGTTTTTAGAGTCAAAGAATTCATTTTTGAGGTTAGATTTGGCTAATTTGGTTGTTTGGTTGGTCAAAAGTTGGTGCAAGTCTGCCCTTGGAGAAACCATGTTTGAACTTCGTTTTTTTAGCTTGACTACTTTGAAATCTGGAGTGGAATTATACCAACCATGAACATAGTTTGAAAGAGGGATGCAAGGGAGTATTCTGGTTTTTGAATCACCTGATTTGGATAAGAAACGAGATAGAAAAGCTAGAGAGAATTAAAGGTAGTCAAGCTGGGAAAGGAAAGGAGGGGGGTGCAGCACCTGCCACCCAGACAACGCATGGGGCATGGTCTGGGGGTGTGGTTTTGACCTCCAAATTCCTTATTTCAAAATCTTTCCAATCATATTTTGTTTGACCAGTTTCGACTTCGTTTGATATACGCACTGAAAGTCTGAAAATGACATTTTTTTCTCTTACCAGATCCAATTTGCGCAACCTATGCAATTTTTTGGCCAAAAAAAAATATTTCTATGTTTACTAGTCGTAGGATACTTATAATTGAGTTGCCTCTAAAAAGTTTGACTGTTTGATTTTTAACAAATGTTAGGCAATTTGTAGGTTACTCCGATTTTGCTTTGAACATGGATTTCCCAACTCTATTCACTATTCCAGCTATTTTATCAATGCTGTTCTAAATGTTCTCAATTACTATTAATGGGTTGAATATTGATTATGATTTCAGATCCGATGGTGTTTTTCGAAGCAATGTTTTTTTTATTTGTTGAACTTTTTTGTGAAAATATTTCTTGGATCTATGTTTGTGAAAAGTATTGTACACACAGGGTTGAGCGGCAAAGGCCTATAAATCGTAGAGGATTTCACAGAGTTCATCAATTTTGGCAGCCTAGTGGCTTTCGAGCTTTGAGTACAGGTTGAAGGAGGGAGTGTATCTTCCTTGGATGAGAGCTTAGTCACATAATCCATCAAAACAACCAATGCTCCGGCGCTCTGCGTGAATTCTCGCTTTGACATTGAATTCTCCGTGAATTCGTGCTCTTATTTTACAAAACTCATGAATTCGCACTCTTATATGCTTCCTCATTATTATTTAAATTTTTATTTGAAAAGTATCGACTCATACATACAGATACATATCAAACTAGAATGATATTTGTAACCTATAATTGCTATTTCAGGATCTTATAATCAATATATATTCAAAAATTAAATTAAATAATTTTTTCATAGGTGTGCATAAAATTTAATTTTTATATTTAATTTTTATTAAATTTTATGGGTTAATATTTGTCTTGATGCATATAAAAAGACGCTCTCAAAGCATTCCTGTTCTCTAATATTTTTGAATTTTGTCACTTTTGTGCTCGCGCTCTTGTTCTCGCTCTCTCCTCCGATCCTATTCTATGTGTTCTAGAGTCCCCTAAAAGGTTTATTTCATGATATTGAGGCATTTGAAATGTCCTCGTGATCTTGTGGTCATTAGGATTTTTTCTCTGGTGTGTGGCACACTATGGTATTCATATTAGTACATGAAGGTATGGGTGTTGATTTCTAACGCTGCTTTTGATTCTAATATCATTTTGGTTTATATGTACAAATGCTTAAATGTTACTTTAAAATCTCAATCACCGAAAGCTATGTTATTTTCAAACCTTGTTAGTTGCAAAACTAAATTAATTTACCATGCTAGTTGACCCTCACCCTAAGTTGTTTATCTCTTTTACAATATTCTAAAGGCAGGGTTATTTAGCGTGGGAATTTGAAAGGAAATTTTTGCTCTATGTTCAACATGTTTTTAATTTTGAAAGTGGTACCTATTGAGAACAGTGTGCTGCTTATATTACAACTTTGAAAGGCATTTGACACAGATGCATGTATTCACACACTTATACCCTTGAGTCGAATCGAGATGCCACAGTTTAGGGTTAGAGTCATCAAGTAATGTGCCCGGGAGATCTAGGGCGTTACAAAAGTGATCGCAGAGTATTTTATTTCTTTTGAAAGTTACAGAATTGATTACTTATAGGAAATCGAATGAGTCTATCGAGATTACTAAAACTCTAATTGCATGTAATTGAATCGGTATGTCACAATTTCCTATTATATCAAGCAACATGTCCATGAGAGGAGGGGCGTTACACTAAAACACCAGTGGGTCCTTGAGGTAACAGAGTTACACCCCACCCCCCCC